TTTTAAAATATATTCAAATATTTTTTTATCAAATAAATGCACACACACATATATAAATATATTTTAAAGCATTAATTAAATAAGTAAATTAATAAATAAATAATAGTGTATTAATAGTGTAAAATTACTCAAAAAGTGATAAGCTAATTCCTTCTTTGCTCAGGTCAACATAGTAAGGGATGCAAATTGAAGGCAGATCCTCAGGACCTGCAGGCTCTCATTGTCTCAGCACTTGATGACCCAGTGAAGAGAGTTCAGATGGCTGCTGCAGTGTGCCAGTATGCCATGAGGACACCTAACACTCACGCCAGAGACATACTACGAAGCAAGGTCTGTGGAAGGATACCAATGCCTGAAACCAAAAAATGTCAACTAAAATATCTTAAATTACTAACAAACATTAATGTCACAGGTAAAGCCGTCTGTTCTACTCAGATGTTGACTCTAAATGACCATCATATGTTATGACTCAGACCCTTCTGGCACAGGTGCAGACAGCTGGGTGGCGGCACAGTGCTTGGCGATAGACAGTGATGTGAGTCAAGCTGTCATACAGAGACTCCTGTCACAGCACTTTCTCAGAGACGCTCCTTCAGATCCACGAGCAGTCTATGATGCTTCTCTCCAACATTAGCAGCAAGACTGAGTGACTCTCTCAGTAGTTTTTGAGTAAAAGATTATATAATTTATGCATGCACGAGGTAAACTAGTTTATCTTATTCACATAAAATCATTTTTCATACAGCACTGTTTAGAAGTTTGGGGTTTGTAAGATTTTGTTTTTTAAAAGAAGTCTCTTATGCTGACCAAGGCCGCATTTATTTGATCAAAAATATAGTAAAAACTACAATATTGAAATATTATTACACTTTAAACTTACTTTTTAATATATTTGAATCAATTTTGAAATGTAATTTATTTCTGTGATAGCAAGGCTGAATTTTCAGCAGTCATTAGTCCAGTCTTCAGTGTCACATGATCCTTCAGAGATCATTCTAATATGCTGAGATAGTGCTCAATAAATGTTTTTTGTTATCAGTGTTGCCAATTAATATTTTTGTGGAAACCATGATTTTTTTGAGAATTCTTGGATGAATACAAAGTTCAAAAGAACAGCATTTATTTGAAATAGAAAAAAATTGTGCCATTATAAATGTCCTAACTGTTTGATCAATTTAATGCATCCTTTCTTCTCAAACTTTTGCATGGTGTTTCCCATCCAGACACTAGTGCGCTCTCTTCTGGCACAAGAGTTAAACAGTGCTAACTGGAGAACACAAGTTCAGGCCTGTACTAGCATTGCACAACTCAGAAGTCCACTAAACAAGGTATCATGTAATTCCTCTGCAAATTTCAGACAATTGTCTACATATCTAATATCTCTAATGGTTGTAGAAAATACTATTGCTTTTCATGAAGGATCTTTGCAACAAACTGATATACATGATGTGGAACGACTGGAGCTGTGCCGTTCGTCACGCTGCAGCACTGGCTCTGAGTAAAATGGATGCGGCCAGAGAGATGCATAGTGAGCTGAGGTGACTATCTCTACCCAACATACATATCAGAGGGTTTGGATTTAGTTCATTCTTAACACGCAATATCTCCACAGTGCGAAGCTGGAGGAGGGTCCAACTGCTTGGCAGGTGGAAGAGCTGATTTTCATTGGTCAGCTCAATATAATGACACCCAAGCTACTGCCTACTTTTCTGCAGTGCTTTAATGATGACTTTGTGGCTGTGCGCAAAGAGATGCTTGCTTGACTGCAGCATCTCTAATGATGGATGACCAGTTGGTGAGGAAGTAAAGCACAATAGATCTTTGATGGCATACAGACAATAAAAGAATGTGAAAAAGGAATTGAGGGTTCTCTCAAATGACCACATAAAACATGTTCACAGATCCTGGATCAGCTAATTAACCTGATGCAGAATGATCCATTGTGGGAGATGAAAGTGGAAGCTATTAATGGTAAGTGTGAAAATAAATTAAAGGAAGAGTTCACCAAAAATGAAAAGATTGCTGAAAATTGATTTACTCTCAGGCCATCCATGATGTAGATGAGTTTGTTTCTTCATCGTGACAGAGACATTTAGCATTACATCACTTGCTCACCAGTGGATCGTCTGCAGTGAATGGGTGCCATCAGAATGTGTCCAAACTGCTGATAAAAACATCACAATAATCCACAAGTAATCCACATGGTATCCAGCGAAAATATGAGTTCTCTATTTATGATACTGCTTTCTCCAGTGAAAACATCATCTCAGCTGAATCAGGAGAGAAATATGCATAGATCAAGCACCGTTTATAAGCAAAAACAGTCCAAAGCAGTTCTAAACAAATGTCAATGGATTTTGATGTGAGAAGACAACAGGGGACTGTAGGAGATGTTATGGATTATGAACAAGTATTTTCACCAGAAGTGATGGTTTAAAGGAATAATTCACCCAGAAATGAAAATTCTGTCATTAATTACTCACCCTCATGTCATTCCAAACCCGTAAGACCTTCGTTCATTTTTCGGAAAACAAACTAAGATATTTTTGATGAAATGTGAGAGCTCTCAGACCCTGCATAGACAGCAACGCAACTGCAATGTTCCCAGGTCCAGAAACGTTGTAAGGACATCGGTAAAACACATCGGTGAACGCAATCTGCGTAATCAGCATCGTTTACATTAGGGCAAAGCGATGGCTTGTGTATGCATTGTGATACTCTCTAAAATGGCGGAAGACGTAACTCGGGGGAGAAGAATTGTTGAAAAAATTATGTTATTTTTGTTTTCTTTGCACTCAAAAAGTATTCTCGTAGCGTCGCAAAACTGAAGTTCAATGTCCTTGCTACATTTCTGGACCTGGGAGCATTACAGTTGCGTTGCTGTCTATGCAGGGTCTGAGAGCTCTCACATTTCATCAAAAATATCTTAATTTGTGTTCCTGAAGATGAACGAAGAAGGTCTTACGGGTTTGGAACGACATGAGGGTGATTAATTAATGACAGAATTTTATTTTTGGGTGAACTATCCCTTTAAGTTATTTTTGATGAAATCCAAGAGCTTTCACTGTAGTCGTGTGGATTATTGTGATGTTTTTATCAGCCGTTTGACTCTCATTCTGACGGCACCCATTCACTGCAGAGGATCCAATGGTGAACAAGTGACGCAATGCTAAATTTCTCCAAATCTGTTCTGATGGAGAAACAAACTAATCTACAACATGGATGAGTAAATTTCAACAAACATACATTTTTGGGTGAGCTATTTCTTTCATCAGTTAATGTCCTCCCAGTTTGTGTCTAATAATTAATATTACTATTTTTTTATTGCATTAAGGAATTATTATATAAATTAAGCTTTAGGGAAAATAGGTTGGACGAACCCAGCTCTCCAGGAGTTGCTGATGTGGGCTGTACATCATGAGGAGGAGCCCAGTGTGTGCATTGCTGCCTGTAAGGCCCTGAGTACTTTAGGTGCAAAGGGTCCAGAGTTACAGCATTTTTTCTACAGGAGCGTGATGCACTGGAACCCAACACTGAGGTGCAGAGGTGTGTACTTGGATTAGGCCACAATCATTATAAGTAAAACATGAAAATCATTAAAGTAAAATTGTTTTTTGAATGTTACTTTAACCATATTTCTTACTAAGGCACATTGGAAGTCTTCTGAAAAAGCATGGATAGTCTAAAGCATTGGTCACCAACCTTTTTAGGCCCAAGATCCCTGACCTCGGCCTTTATGAAAAACAAGATCTACCTATTGAAGAACTGATAGAAAAAGACATCCCAGATTGTACTTCAAATTTGAGGCCTTTTACTTAGTATTTTAATTAGTGATGCGCCGATCATAGCTGATTCAGAATTCAGATTTTCTTATCTTTTATGGGGAGGCGTAACAGAAATAACCGTTAGAATATGCATTTACATTATAAACATGACAGGTTTGCTAGAATGAAGGCAAATCACATATAGACACTGGTTTCAAAGCATAACACATACTTATATGAACATTTAACCACCACATGTCTATGCTTTTAGTTCTAACGAGCATATTCTTGTTGTTTAATCAAAAAACATATATACTGTATATATACACACTTACCAAATTACTCAGAGAACTGTCAGTTTTTGGAATTGCTTGAACCATCTTAATTTTCACTTCCAAGTTCTGAATGAACTCCACCACCATCCCCATAAGCTCGGGGGTTTTTCAGACCTGATGGCAATTAAACAAACAATGGAGCCTAAAAATTAGTGTTTCTTCGGCTATAGGCATTTTCATGTCTAAGGGCTTTTTTAGTATTATTATTATTATTATTAAAGCTAACAGATTACAACTTATTTTATATATATACGTCCTAGGAGCCCCTAAGAGCAAATGGTGATATAATATAATAGTTAAAAATATGGGAGGGGAATAAAAATATTATATTTCAATGGTGTAACTTACCGTTAGCCCACAACACTTATATTTCCCCGAGAAACCGTGCGAACTCTCCGTAATTTACTTTGCTTGTTGCTCTTAGTTGCTATGTAATAATCATATAAATGCTACACTGACTGTTGCTTGTGCGCGTTGTGTTTTCAAGGCGTGCAGTAGTCACTTATTTATCGTTCTTGTATGAGATGAGACTTCTGTTGTGTTTCGATTTCAATCGACCGCCTCTTTCTTTCTTGAACACTAGCAGAGCTAACGTTACGCAAACGTATTAGAAGCGCAGATATCGTAGGTATATGCATATATTCGCACAGTTCTCAACGTTAACCTGAATAATAAGCATATGATATACAGATCATAGAAAGTGTAGCGTGACGCGCAATGCAACTTCCTACGTTACGTTTAGCTAAATTCTCAAGTCCGCAGATTCACGAATAAGCACAAAGATCGATTCTGCACTATAAATCAGTTGTAGCCAAACAACAAAGTATATTTCAATTGTTTATGACGGTCTTCTATGCATGATTCAAATGATTTCTGAATGTAGAATTTGTTGAATAAGCAGGCGTAAAACCGTAGATCACTTACTTCAACAGCTGCGCGCCATCGCTGTTTACAAAGGACTGCGCAGCTTAAATAACGAAATAAACGCATTAAATACAAATGAAACAAACGTTCCTGCAAAGTTAGGTAAAGTAGATTAGCGAATCGGTCGAAATTATATCATATTCGCGAACATATACCGTGATGCGGTAAGAAGCGGGTCACACAATGACAACAGTCCTCCAGCGTAATAAACCCCAGATGCCACTGTGCTAGATTCATACTAGGTCCGTCTGAAACGATTTCTCCAGTGCAGCTTGCGTTTACATTAAGATACAGCCAGAGAAATGTCGGCTGCGGCGCGTGTAGCGGCCCCCGTGATGCTGTCCCGGTTCCGCGGCGCTCTGGTCGGCTCGGTGTTGGGCGACTGTATCGGCGGCGAGTTTGAGGGCGCCGTGGATGTGCCTTTAGATCGAGTCCTTCAGCATCTCAGCGCTCTGGAGGATGAAACACGGGGCGATGGTGAGTATTTCCGCATTTTACGATTATACAATGAACATATTTACTTACGTTTGTATTTGTAATCTTTGAGATTACTACGGTATTCCCATATCTGAAGGCCATATCAGTCTTACTGAAAATAAATATCACACTTTTGCTTGTCCTAAAGTCATTGTTAACCCTCTGGTATTCCTCATTTTCGCAGTAACATTTTTCATAACATGAATGTACTATATTTTGTTCCAATAATATTTATACTGTAATATTTTGAGGGGATTTCATGGTACCAGGCAATATTCACCTCTAAATTATGCACCATTTTGCTATATAAAAAGAATAAATTTTTGACTATGAATTAAATTGTTTCTTAATTACACATCTCATTCTCATTGACATTTTTCCCAGGAATTCTTCAGTACAGTGATGACACAGCCATGATGAGATGCGTCGCAGATTCACTCCTCACCAGGATGGCGTTTGAGGAACGAGACATGGCTCGAAGGTATGTTATCATTGGAAATGGCTAAAAGAGTCCTTTTAAGCACGTATTGGATTTTCCTGATCATCTTACTTGATTCCAGATTTGCAAAGGAGTATAACCTTGCTCCGGGGCGAGGTTATGGCTCAGGTGTCGTACAGGTACTGCGGAAGCTTGCGTCGCCCCATCTGAAGGACGTCTTCCAACCGGCACAGGCTCAGTTTGGCGGCCGCGGTTCTTTCGGGAATGGAGGTGCCATGAGAGCGGCACCCTTTGCCCTGGCCTTCAAAAGTCGTGCTGATGTCAGCAGGGTAAATAGTCATCTGATTGTCGAATCTAAGCTAGTAGCATTCTGCACTTCAAACATTTTTGACGAACTCTTTTGAATTGCTCATAAAAAGAGTGGAAGTGCAGCCAGCAATAGCTTTAGACTTTATTTAATGAGGATTCATATAAATGGTTCTCAGCCTGGGGGCCTCAAGATGGCTAAACATCTTTAAAGTAATCAATTATTATTAATATATTAAATCAATAGTTAACTCAAATCTATATAAGAATGCTAAAAACACATAAATCAACATGTAAAGTGAATCATAATTCCTTCTTAATCATTTTTACTGAAGAACATACAGTTCTCGAATGTTTTATTTTGTTATGCTGGTTGAAAGTCTCTTCACATCCCGAGAGCAATCAATAAGTTAAGTGGTCTATATGTATTTATGTCGTCTTTGGAAGGCGTAGGACCATAAAATGTTCGACCAATCAGAGTATTCGGTCCGAACATTATGATAACAGTTAACGAATGTACAGTGGGGCAAAAAAGTATTTAGTCAGCCACCAATTGTGCAAGTTCTCCCACTTAAAAAGATGAGAGAGGCCTGTAATTTTCATCATAGGTATACCTCAACTATGAGAGACAAAATGAGAAAAAAAATCCAGAAAATCACATTGTAGGATTTTTAAAGAATTTATTTGCAAATTATGGTCGAAAATAAGTATTTGGTCAATAACAAAATTTCATCTCAATACTTTGTTATAATATACCCTTTGTTGGCAATGACAGACGTCAAACGTTTTCTGTAAGTCTTCACAAGGTTTTCACACACGGTTGCTGGTATACCTCCATGCACCCTGTTCACGTAGACATGATATGTCATCAGCACGTTCGATTACGCTGTTGCAGACCGAGCGAGAATGTAAGGAGTTATTATTGTAATATTATGTGCTTCGTCTCACCGGTGAATGAGACATGAGATAATCTGACAGCGTTGCATTCAGTTCTCCATCAACGCCGTCTCTCATTGTGTCGCTGGTGAGTCTTTGGTCTACCTGTGCACGTTCATGTGTTTTGGTGGAGGCATGATTATGCAGGAAAGGTGGGATCTTGCTTTCAAAGCTATCTTGCTATTGCTAGCCTTTCCGAAATCGCCCACCCTACCTTTAATTTGAAAGGCTAATTTGGACTGTCCCAGGCTAACATTCTGTCCTTCCATTTACTTTTGGCAGTACTCTCGGCTTGGCGCAATGTTAACACACTCATGCTCTTTGGGCTACAATGGGGCAGCGTTGCAGGCCCTTGCTGTTCATCTGTCTCTCCAAGGCGCTTTGGCTCTGCCAAAAGAATTCATCAACAAACTGATATCAGAAATGGAGGAGATGGAAATAGATAAAACAGCCCAGCTTGATGCTAAAGCGTAAGTGAACTCATGGAAAGAGCAAATTTCAGCTGTATGTTTCTTAAATGAATAGTTTACTCAAAAATTTAAAATATGTCATCATTTACGTTGTTCCAAACCTGAATGACTTTCTTTTTTCAGTAGAACTTAAAAGAAGACATTTTGATGAATGTTTAAACCGTTTGTTGTTGTTTGTCCATGCAGTGTTATCATTAACTAAAACTATTAAAACTAATAAAAGTTATTTTTGGTTTTTAAAATAAAGCTTTTTGAAAATAGTATGAAAAATTAAGAACCACGAACTAAGAAATAGTAATTACTACTTTTAGTACTCAAATGACTAAAACTGAAATGAAAAATAAGTTAAAGCTAAATAATAAAAATAAATAAATAGGCCCACAACAAAATTAACAAACAAAAAAGCACACAACAAAATTTCCAAAAACTTAAACTAAAATTAAAATAAAAAGTGAAAATATAAACATTTATAAAAAATATTAATAAATACTATGATGGTATATAAATAAAACTAATATAACACTGTCCAAATGACATTGGACCCCACTGTCTTTCATTTTATGGACAAAAAAACATTTTACAAAATGTCTTCTATTGAGTTCCACAGAAGATAAAACAGGTTTGAAGCAACAGTAAATTCTGAAAGAAATTTTTATTTTTAGATGAACTGTCTGTTTTATTTCACTATGTTTTATTTCACAGACTCAATTTATCAGATTTCCCATATTGCTCACGATTGCACAGAGTGAAAGAACTTATGGACAGAAACAGTGTGAGCATTGAGGAGGTCATATCTGAACTTGGTTAGTATCGATTACTATTGATTAGCTTTGATCGGATCATTCATAAAGGCATTCTGCTGTTTTTCTTGAAGTTGACACTCTTTCTTTGTGTTAGGGAATGGCATCGCTGCCTTGCAGTCCGTGCCCACCGCTATCTTCTGCGTGCTGCATTGTTTGGAGCCCCGGGATGGGCTGCCAGAGCGATTCGGAGGACTAGAGAGGACAATAGCCTACAGCTTGGCTCTGGGTGGTGACACTGACACCATTGCTTGCATGGCAGGGGCAATCGCAGGGGCACATTATGGCATTGACTCCATTCCTCAGAGCTGGCAGAAGAGCTGTGAAGCGGTGGAGGAGGCAGATGATTTAGCGAGACGTTTGTATGATCTTTACTGCCTTCCACAGTTTGAAGAGGACAGGGGGACATCAAGCTGTGAGAACAATCAACCGCACACACACGCCAGTGATCAACACACTGCAAAAACTGACTGACCCACTACATGGCCATATGCAACATGCAGCCACACATAAGTGAAACTTCACCTGGCACACAGTGTCAAATGCACTTGCTAATATACCATCATCTATGTTTATAAAAATGTGAAACTTGTGCAAAATGTTTACAATAAAAAGAACAAAATGGTACCATTTGATTGGTAATGATCTTGTTTTGTCCTTTCTTTACTTCACATTTAACACTGTTCTGAAAACTATATACAGTGGGGTTTTGAAGTAAACATGTCTCTCTTTTTTGTGCATTTTAATTTAGTACTAATTTCATTTTTTAAATTACAATAAATTATTCCATGTTTTGAACCATAGAAACAATGAATACAACAGGTAAAAAAAAAATATGTTGCAAACATTTAATTTTAATACACGTGTACATGCTTTGATCATTCGTCATTAGACACTTTTCTCATTATTGTAGCTTAATATTTGTTAAAATATTTTGTGCCTTGTGGAACTACTCACCTAGGGATGTATACTGTAAATAGTTTTAGGTTCAGCTAGTTAAGCACTACACCATTCAATCATATTTTAATAATGGGGTCACTCAGAGCTGCCACTGGCCTCCAGGTCCCAGAGATCAGTGTCACCGATACATCAGAGGTTGCGATCACGGCCTCAGCCACAGAACTCTCTTTCTCAGCTGCCTTGGGCCCAGAGATCCTGCCAGGACGGCTTCAGAAATCCCTCTGAAGGCCACCAATAAAGGTTCTTGTCACTGCTGCTCCAGATCCTGCTGAGGCTCCACAGAGGTTGAAAGTCCCATGATGCCCTTTTCATAGCTTCGCTGGTCCCACAGGTCCCTCAGGGACACTCCAGAAGTCATAGCGTAGGCCACCCTAAGGGTTCCTGAACCAGCTGTTGTTAAAGATGTCATGTAACAGGTCCCTGTCCCAGCCTGCTACAGCTCTATGTCATAGCAGCTCCAGTCGCACCTGACATAACCAAGCAGGTCACACTGAAGCATGTCATGTCTGCCACAAAGGTTCCTCTCATGATGGTGCAGAGATTAATGCTACGCCTGCCAGAGAAATTGCAGTGAAGGCTGACCCAGTGTTTCCTGTCTTAGCCTCAGTCAGAGCTCGTGTCCACGGCTGCTGCAGTCCCAGAGCTCCTCTCTCAACCTCACTGGTCCCAGAGGTTCCTGCTAATGCTCGGGGTTCTGCAACTTGTGTCCCACATTAAAAACACAATATGAAAATAAACACAAAATGTGAAAGCGGTTTATTTATTTATCACTTTGTATGTTCATTTGAATAATAAGCTGACTAGGTAAGTAATACCAGATAAGTAATTCAAAGGAGAGTTACTTTGTGGCCCTTTGTTTACTGTTTGAAGGCCAAGGTATCAGCATGGAATTTGGCTGTAGACGGGGTCTAAACAATAAAAATGGCCTTTGGACAGTCCAACAGAATGAAGTCAGACCACATTGTTCACTTTTCTACCAGTCTTTCTACTATTCTGCTACAATGCTGCTATTTATTCCAGTTTTACACAACTCATTTGGGTGGATGTCTCAACTGTATGTGACAGTAATTAACAACCGGTCCCTATAGATTCTCTTTGCCACCTGGAAAATTCTCAGTCCCTTAAAGTGTATAACGGCCGGGAAGCAAGAAAACACACATCAAATTGTATTCGCAATACTTCAACTTTATTCATAGATACAAGGATATTATATAGGCATATGTCGAGGGGAGTTTCAACCCTTTAACCAATGAGGATATAGATGACATACATATAGGATGTTGGCCAAGAATATGTGTTATATAAAATGGCCACATGTACTGGAAAATATGGACATATTAGGAATAAACTTGGTGAAGGATGCTGAACTATCTCCATAGTTCAGCACGAACCCCCATTACCTTGGAGTCCTAGCTAGCGTGTCCTCATTTGAACATTTGAACCAAGAAAAGCTAATGCATACATGTGCGCATGCGTACCTCGAATATGAGTAAGAGATATTAAAACATAATACAAGAGAGAGAGAACAGATGGAGGAGGGGGGAATCAGAGAGAGACAACAGTGCGCTGTACAGGGAGGGCGAGCAGAGAGGGAGAGAAAAGAAAAGGAGGGTGAAAACATCTGGAACCAATACAGACAGAGAGTGTTTTCTAATAGTATGTCAATTCAAATAAAGTTTATTTTTACATAAACTGAGTCTGAGTTTATTAAGAAAACAAAATCTCTAAATGACAGAAATAGTCTGTCCAACCTTCAAGCTACTATTTTTACAAAACGTAAATTAATACTCACTGTACAATACAGTATAACAATATGCCTTCAGAATAAAGTGGTTGTTCTTTATGTTTATCGTAATACAACACATTTATAAATGTATACACATTTTAATTTTAGAGAAATGTAGATAAAAGAGAGAGAGCGAGAGACTGCAAGAAAACAAAAGGAATCTTAAAGGGTTAGTTCACCCCAAGATGAAAATTCTGTCATTAATTATTATTAATTACCCTCATGTCGTTCCAAACCCGTAAGACCTTCGTTCATCTTCGGAACACAAATTAAAGGGGGTCATATGATGCTGCTAAAAAGAACATTATGTTGTGTATTTGGTGTAATGAAATGTGTTTATGCGGTTTAAGGTTAAAAAACACATTATTTTCCACATACTGTACATTATTGTTTCTCCTCTATGCCCCGCCTTTCTGAAACGCTTCGATTTTTACAAAGTTCATTGGTCTGAAAAGCGAGGTGTGCTGTGATTGGCCAGCTATCCAGTGCGTTGTGATTGGCCGAATACCTCAAGCGTGAGACGGAAATGTTACGCCCCTCACCACACTTTGATGCCGTGTCCCGGCACGATGACTGCAGGATCAGGAAACAGTCCTCCATAAAATGTGCTGCACACATCTGAATATTTGCGTTGAATTGTTCTGGAACAGTGTTGTAAATACAACTTAACCACTGATTTGTAGTTGTGTCCTCTTTTGGAAGACCAAACAAAGTAGTTTCGCTTTCACAACGAAACACACAGCATCACACACGACAGGCTTGAGAACGGCGCGGCCTGCAGATTCGACAAAGGAGCGGCCGGCAGGCTTGCGGCAACCACATGTGACGACACTGGGTTGGACTCCGCTTTGTCCACGGTGAAAGCCGATCCGGTGATCCACAGCGCAAAGTTGATGTATTTCCTCAGCGACCAGCACGGATCAGCTCCAGGCATGACGAAGCAGATATCGGCCTCTTTTGGAAGACCAAACAAAGTAGTTTCGCTTTCACAACGAAACACAGTGCCTTCACGACATGGCGGCGGCAACAATATGACACCGAGAATAAAAGTTACGCCTTCTTTCTTTGCGTGCAGCGTTATGCAAATCTTCCCACACAGTGACGTAGACATGTGGGGGCGTGTTTAAACAAGGCATTTTAGGAGGGAGTCTTAACTTTTATAAAGAATATCTCTTTGGGTTTGAGACTTTAGTCTTTGCAACTTTAGGGATCTTCTCGATGCACGAACAGCTTGTAACACTCCAAAGAGAAAGGAAAATATGAAATTGCATCATATGACCCCTTTAAGATATTTTTGATGAAATGTGAGAGCTCTCAGACCCTGCATAGACAGCAACGCAACTGCAATGTTCCCAGGTCCAGAAACGTTGTAAGGACATCGGTAAAACAGTCCATGTGACATCAGTGGCTCAACTTCAGTTTTGCGAAGCTACGAGAATACTTTTTGAGCGCAAGAAAACAAAAAGAACAATTTATTTAACAATTCTTCTCCACCAAGTTACGTCTTCCGCCATTTTGGAGAGTACCCAAGAGCGTAATCTGCGAAATCAGCGTTGTTTACGCTTAGGGGAAAGCGTGCGTATGCATTGTGATACTCTCTAAAATGGAAAACATTGCAGTTGCGTTGCTGTCTATGCAGGGTCTGAGAGCTCTCACATTTCATAAGAAAATATCTTAATTTGTGTTCTGAAGATGAACGAAGGTCTTACGGGTTAAGAACGACATGAGGGTGAGTAATTAATAACAGAATTTTCATTTTTGGGTGAACTATCCCTTTAAGGCTTATGTTGAATTAGATGGACCTTCATCAGCAAGTATACACAGGTGTGAAGGGGTGTTGGGCTGAATGTGACTGGACAAATAGATTCTCTGATAAACATCTTGGAATATCTTCATCATCATATCTTCAAATTATAAACATCAGTAACACAGACAACATCAACATGGCTGTGAATGGCCTGAGGTACAAAACTAGCATAAAGCTTTTTACTCTTATGGATGCAAGGTCTGGGTTTATAAACCAAACCAAAACCTATGAGTACACTACAAAACAACGAAAATTAGGGCTAGACCCGCTAGTAATTAAATTTTTTTTTAAATAATAAAAAGTAACGCAGAGACGACCCTCCATCACAAAGTGAAGTGACAGAAGCCCCTCTCAGCCAACCATGTAATGATATAAATGTTCCAGTAGGTGTCACTAAAAAGCTTTGCAATTGTCATAACACAAAACGGCAGAAGTAGAGAAAGAGTAGAAGGAAGGAACACGTGAGTTTGTGATGTTGTCGATTGTGATGAACTAAAATACTTTGTGAAGGAATAGAATAAATTACAACTATACAGCTTTTTAGAAGAAATATTTTCATTTACAAACAGGTCATTTGTTCATGTTTAAGTTACGGGATGAGGAAAAGCGCGACAACCTAACAGTTACTTCAGCTGATGGTATTGCATTGTACACATTAACATTAAAGTAAGCACTATTAAATGCATTATGTCAGAGTCCACGACCCCAGGGAAAAAGGGCAATTTGACCGGAAGTGCCAGGAAATTAAAGGACGACGCCGCAGACTGGCATAATCTCATATTGAAATGGGAGCGATTAAACGATGAGGGATCCACGATTGCGACTAAAATTGTTAATCTGGGACTGAGCAAAAAGTAAGTTTTACCTGTCGATCAAACATAAATACTATAAATAAATTATGTAAATAATAATGTATAGTAAAATTCTAATGCGATTATATATCAATTTGTGTGTGTAAGCAATCTGCCTGCTCTGTTATACCTGTAACCTGTTTTCTCCATCCTGTCTGTTCACAGATCAGATCTTGAGCCTGATGTTGTGATGGAAGGAGGCAGGTTGGCAGCTGGAGACATTTCAGAGGACATGAAGCGGAGCAACCAAGAGCTGGAGGAAGAATGTGTGAAGTTACAAGACGTTGTGGAGAAAATGGTAACTTTTTGCAGAACGAGCATTAGCAATGCTTGATGTTTGTACATTTTTACAGTCTAAATTGTTTCGCCAAAGGCTAACATGCTGTCAAAGATGGAGAAGATGGTCCATGCCGAACGCGGGATCTGTGAGTTAGAAGCGTTCCAGTACGGAGAGACAGGAAGAGCAGCACCACTCTTTCACACGTGGTCCACACAACAGTTTGGTAAGAGCAAGAAATGCTCAACCATCATATACCAAACACCAAACTATCCCATCTTCTGTTCATGTTAATCTGTTCTTTGATCTGTATGTCCAGTTTACTTTCATAAAATTGGTTTAAATTCATATTATGTATAAATTAATATGTATTCAACTTAATTAGTTCTAAATTCTGAATACTAATTGAATTTAGTATGAAGCAATCATCTGCGTCCATCCCAAGATATAAATTAGATTCTTCATCATAACATATTTGAAGAAATTTGGCATTACAGCACTGATCCTCTGAATAGGTGCCGTCAGAACGAGTCTAAACAGCAGATACACTTTTCTCTTTCACTTCACAAGACATTAATTGATTGACTGGAGTCATGTGGATTATTCTGACGGCACCCATTCACTCAAGGATCCATTGGTGAGCAAGTAATGCTACATTTCTCTCAAGCTGTTCTGATGAAGAAAAAATCATTTGACCGTTGTCCTCTTCATGACAGCTGAAGTATCTTCCAAGCTTTACGAGTCATACAAGCAGGAGTTGGCGCTGAGGACCCATTGGTGAGCAAGTAATGCTACATTTCTCTCAAGCTGTTCTGATGAAGAAAAAAATAATTTGACCGTTGTCCTCTTCATGACAGCTGAAGTATCTTCCAAGCTTTACGAGTCATACAAGCAGGAGTTGGCGCTGAAGAAGACTATACTACAAGAATTGGCCCACACGGCAAATGCTGATCTTTCCATGGTCTACCTGTCGTCATGGCTGTATCAACCCTACATTGAGGACAGTGGAAAACTGCTACTAGAGAGTTTGCTATTGGAAACAGGTCACAGACCTTTGTGATTCAGTCTATGCATGAGGACTATGTAAACAAATTAAAAGCATATCATGACATGTATACAGCTTTGATTTAATCGGTTTGACCTTCAAATTTATTTCTCAAAAATATTTTATTTTTATACTGTATTTACGTCCCTCTAAGCAGTCTGTAACATACAAAGTCTTAACTCGCTCACCAAAGTTTTAATGTCATATTTGAACATGTCCCTTTGTATTAAAAATGCTGAGATGTTTCCAAAACACAGTAAACCAGATATTTTATAAAAAGTAATAAAATAGTGCAACAACTTTTCAAATGACTTTTGCACTAGACAAACTACTAAAGAACAGAAACAATGGAACATCTGAGGATGCAGTCTTAAGATTATAAGCACCTCAAGTCTTATCCGTTTGTTTTACAAATCGATAGTGTTTTCTTACTCCTTTGGAGTGGACAGTCATCAAAACTGAAATGTCCCCCGTCTCAAAATACCGTGTTTTTAGCTCAGACCTCTAGGGGTCAACTATTTTCAGCCTTAAGGGTTCATTTTCAAACAAATGAATGTCCAAAAGTGTTTGAATAAATAAAATCTCATGGGGTACCAATTTAAACTGTATTGCAACTACAGCCTGGTTTTCTAACAAAGGAACGGTTATGTACAGATTTCTCTGGATGGCCCACTAAGTGGACACAGTATCACAAAAATCTTACCACAGCTTTTACTGAACTTTGCTGGAGTCCATAACTTAGTTTTGGCAGATAGTATTTTCTTTTCTCTCATCTGTGCATGTTGTGAAAGATTCAGTTCCCAGAATGAAAAGCACTGGATTCCCTCCACGATTTAGTGTTGTCACAAGTATTTCCCACCATCTCATCACTTTCCCCGTGAGACGTGTAACGTGCAGCTACATAGTCATGGACTCTGAAACCAATAGTTAAGATATGCTAACATAAGTGAACATTCTCTAAAATTGGAAATAAACAATGACTTCTTTGTATAAACAGAAAAAACACTAATATAATAATACTGTTTTTATACAAATTTACAAAGAATGCAATAAAAGTTCATTGAAAAAACACCATCTCTCAGACAGAACGTATGTATGGTGTGAATAATGGACAAAAACAGGATGTGAATATGTGACTCCATTAAGTCTTTCTTTCGGTTTCAATGCCCAGCAGGGCATGAACGGTCTCTAAAGGAACACCTTCAGGTGCCTCGATGTGCATCATGGTGCCATCGGGCCCGTTGACAATGACAATGCCTTTGGCGGCTAACTCCTCTGCGCTCTGCATCACAAGCCCCTCTGCTGTCTGGAAAATGACTGAAGATTCTTGCTGCACCACCTGACTGGCCTCGGGATCTTCGAGAGCATCGGTCTGGCAATCTTGAACCGCTTGTTGAGCGGCTTCTTCTGAGTTCTTAATCTCCGAGTCTGTGTTTAGAGCTTGTTCCAGCTGTTTCATCTGATCCGCGATATCAACGATGATGCTACTGTTCAGAACCTTGGAGATCTCTGGATCTTCTGTGGTTTTTGTGGCATCAGAATCCGAAGAAGGCATTTCCATCTCCATGGGCTCTTCCTCTGTCCTCTCCGGGATGGCGTTTTCAGCACTCTGTGTAGCATCGTCGGTGGTTAGATCTACAGAAGTCAAGTTCTCCAGTCTGGTTAGCACCACCTGAGGCTTACGTAGAATAGAGCCATCAATACTCTCGTCCTTCTGGATGCCGTTTTGATTAACTTGATAGCCGTTGGTTTCTTCATTGCGGTTTTCTATTTTAAACCTTTTTGCAGGAGGCAGCATTTTGGCATTCTAAGAAAAACATGGAGAAAAAATATTATTACCATACAACTGTAAAACGTATGTTGTTCACATAGAATTATGACAAGTAGCCCATAACAGCTCTAAGTGGAGTGGTGATAATATGGATGTAGGTAAATGAAAGGTTGCAGGTTCAAAACCCAAAAGCACATCATTACAAAAATAAATAAAAGTGTCTACTAAATCAAGGGTGTGCAGAAAATTTAAGAGTAATAAAAAATAAGGCTGTCAAGGTTAACTTAAAATACACAAAAGTCAATAAGAAAAAAAATAAATGAATACTTTTATTCAACAAGGACATATGAAATCGATCAAAAGTAACTGTAAAGATACAAAAGAGTTAATAATGTTACAAAAGATTTCCATTTCAAATAAATGCTGTCTTTTTGAACTTTCTATTCAAAGAATCTTGGAAAAAAAAAATAAAGTTTCCACAAAAATATCAAGCAGCACAACGGTTTTCAACATTGATTATAAGAGAAAATGTTTCTTGAGCGGCAAATCACCATATTCGAATGATTTCTGAAAGATCATGTGACTTTACCATCACATGAATAAACTGTACTAAAATACAAAAAAAAAAAAAAATACATTTACAGACCTGCCAACCTTGGAAATGTTTTTTGAGTACCATCAGCATGGCGGGCGTGGGCGGGGGGTGTAGTGGGGGTAAACAGTTTACTGTTTTTTACGGTTTACCGTAACTGTTTAGTTAATTTTTGCTATTTAGTTTTTTAAAAAAATGCTATTTAAAAAAGAAAAAAAAAAACTCCAGTACACTTCTGTATAGGGCTGGGCGGGCGCTATGAGCAAAAGAAATTCACATCTCTGTATTTTTTGGCTGATTTGTGGTATATGGTAGCCTATTTATATTGGTATTTTGTGTTTGGATTAAACAAATAAAGTGAATGTAAGCATGTAGGCATATATTATGTGCAAAAAAGGGTTAAAATCACATTACACTGTAAATCTAAAAACAAAAATAATCCTTTTAAAGCAGAAGTTAAAGTTACTAAACTAAAAATGAAAATAATAAAAAGCACAGACTAATTGAGTATAAAGGCTATTTTGATTACCCCATTACACTTTACAGTTAGTGCTATCATACAAATACACTTACTTGTAGGTTTAAAATTCTACATATGTCACATTTATTGTCCAACTACAAATATTTCAGCAAAATGTATATTAGTCAGAGTTATTGCTATTTCATTGAGCTCTGTCTGTTTGGCGCGCATGCGTGCAGCGGCGCTCGTTCTAAATGAAGTCTCTGGAGTTTAGCAAAGCAAAAGCTCATGCACTTCTGACAGCAAAATGGAAATATTTCCATGGCTTTTTTAACATATACAGATGGAGAATATACCTGTGAAATGTAAGTTATGCATTAAGGAAAACAGGCAGCACATCTCAAACACATTAAACAGCGCGTCTCTGTCAGCCTCACATGCAGCCTTTCTGTCAGAGCATCTGACGGGGTGAGCCGCTTTGAACAAACTATAGGCTACTAGGAGAGAAATAAAACACAGAAATTATTTAAATGCAAAACCAAAAAAAAAACTCTGATTGGTTTAACTCTTCGTCTTTTTCTGTTGCTTGTTTTGAATACTGAGCGTGGACAGAGGCATCACTAGATTTTGGCGTAGTTTAGAGTGACAAATCGTACCAGCGTACTTTGAGGTCAAAATGCGTAGCCACTATGCAAAATGCATACAGGTTGGCAGGTCTGCATTTAGCACAACTAAATGTTTTCATCATGTATTTGATATTAATATGGTTACATTCTGATTTCTAAAGGCTGATCATAATCCATGAGATTAATCAAAATTATTTTATTCTATTAAAAGCCCTAGATTTTTACAGTAAGAAAAATAAAACACCTTTCTTTCACGTAAATGGTTCTTACATTAATTACCCTAATACTGTTTATATAAAGCTCTAAGTAAACTTAATACAAAGTAAATATTCTTTAAATAACATTTTAATAAATTACTTTAATACAAAGTCAAAATACAAGCGTTTGAGTATTTATTCAATTATTTAATTAAGACTATCAAAATGTGTCTTTGTATATGAAAATGTATAGCTGCCTTTATATTTTACGAAGGGGGTTCCTCACAAGAGCATCACATTTGGAGGTTCAGGCAAAGCATCTAGTTACTAGACAGAATTAAATAATTCTGAAATTGCAGCGGAGCAATCTGTGATACTTGCATACAGGAGTCTACACTGGAATGATTTTTGCTCAGAACATACCTCAATACTCCGTAGGCTCTTTGTGGCCTGATTTGTCTTTTGACATTGTTGTCCTTCAGAGGAAGTCAGGAGTTTTAGTGCATTGGGATCGGTTATACCCAGAGATTGTAAAACCTGAAATGACAGAAAATCTGTATGGTACTCGGGTTTGATCACAATGCTGCAGTGGCTAAATGTCTTGATATTACTTACTCCCATGTTGTTGACCTCTATAGCTGGCCGGGAGGCTGGTGAAGTGTGCAAATATTCCAGGGCCATCTTCTTCACCTGGCTGTGTAGTTGTTCAAATTCATGGTACACGCTCGGGAACTGCTGCTTTGACGGGTAGCCCTTTTCCACCTATATGGACAAGAACAGTGTAAGTGTGCATGAAATGCTTCCAACACACATAATCACATGGTATTTTACAGTGAGAACTGGACACGACTAGACAAAATTCAAAACTATATCCCATGCTTCCAAATATCTAAACATACCTTCATCAGCACAAACTCCCATACAGTCATGACTCTGGCCAGACGTGGAAGAACGATCTCCATGAGATCTTCGTCATCATACTGTTTAATAAACTGAAGAGAGATGAAAGAAATTTAGTAATTGCTGTTAGTAATAGTGATTTAATTAACTGTTCTGGTATTATTGCAGTAATGAGAATATTTACCATAACATTACAATATCTTTTTGTAAAGATAATAGAATAAAAGTTTTACTTTAATTGCTTAAACATAGTAAGAAGTGATCTTCTGCCAGGGAGATAGTCAGGGATAGAAGATAAACAAGTTCAAATGGCTGAGCAGAAAACTATTAAAAAATATATTTCATTTATTTTTAAAGGGTTTAAAAACGACTTTAGTCAACAATTTGTCTCCTCCGCGTCACCGTAACGCCATTTTAGAGAGTATCCACTGAACGCAAACAGCGTATACTATTCTGTGTCAGCTGCACCACGCGGATATGTTGTTTTTGTTCAAATTAAAGCGTAAATAAACGTAGAAAAAATGTGTAATAGACGTGTACGTAGAATAAACGTGTTTGCGTTCAGTGTATACTCTCTAAAATGGCGCTAGGAGACGAATTGTTGAATAAAGTCTTTATTTTTGTTTTCTTTGCGTACAAAAAGTATTCTCGTAGCTTCGTAAAATTACGGTTGAACCCCTGACGTCACATGGATTATTTTACCGATCTCCTTGCTACGTTTCTGGACCTTGATCGTGTTAATAGAATGTTTTTAAAAAATATAAACCAAAACAATTCATTAATAAAGAAGAAACTTTTCAGATTTATCACCATTTCTATGTCACTTACTGAAAAAGCAAATTTGTGACACTGACCATGTCAATTAATTTGTAAAAATATTTATATACTGTATATATCAACCAAAGTTCAAGATCTCAAAATCATGCTGGACTATTCCTAACCATTTTTTCCAACTCAAGAACAATAAAAATTGACAGCCGATCAGAATCACACTTATAATAAACAGACCATTGGTGTGGACACTAACTATCATATTTGGTGTGAATGGTCCTTAAGACATTGTAAAAAAAAGTTAATCTTTATAATAACTTTTCATTCATTCAAATTGACAACATAATTTGTCAAGAGAGAAACTATTCAATTCAAAATGCTAAACAGAAGCTTTTTTACAAGTGGACTTTTGAATCCCACTGAATCAACCAAAATTTTGAGAATACTGTTGTAACATTATGCATAAGTCACCCACCCCAGCATTGTACTCAGTAGTTACACGATGTAACGCAACAAATATGCAAGAGTATAAACCACAGATATGAGAAGTCACTACATAAGAAACCAAAAATGCATGCAGAACTGATCTGAATGTCTGAAAAATACACATACTCCGCACACATTTGTATAGCAAACCAGATCTTACTTCTTTTAGTCGATTCCTCTGTCTTTGAGCTTGCTGCTCCAAGCTAATTCCTCTGGGGTACTTGGGTGGCCGTCCTGGCCGCCCTCTTTTAGGTGGCCGCCCAGGCCTCCTAGGATGACCAGGCCGTCCTGGTCCTCTGGGCCGCCCAGGTCTCCTAGGTTCTACTTTCCCAATTTCTTGAACCTGAAATATTTTATATGCAATTAACTGATCAATCTGATCCATTTTTAATGATCTGAGACCTAATATCAAACAAGCAAAACAAATCATCCTACTTTTTGAGTACTGAGTGTTTTCACTTGACTAGTATCTGTGACTTCTGTTCCTGTAGGCTGTTCATCTCTAGTTTTGGAGAGGTCTTCTGCTTGAGGTGGCGTCGGGTTCTTGTCATGTGTGGGATTTAGCTTATAGTGTCTGTTCAAACCGGCAACGCCGATGTACGCTTTCTCACAGGTATCACATTTAAAGGCTTTGTCACGGAGGTTGATTGTCACATCTGAGGACTTCTTCTTTTTCTCGTCTCCATCCTCATCCTCCACACTTATCTCAGAGTAGTCATCTGAATCTGACTGGTGGCTTTCTGCCAAGTCCTCGTTCTTGATAAACTTGTAGTCTTTCACCTTGTGCTTAGGTGGTCTGGACACCCGACCAGAGCGGGTCTGGGTTTTCTGAGGCTTCTTCTGACGATTTTTTACTTTCTGTGTGTCCTTTCCAATGGCTGAAGTTGCAGTTTTTGTTTCTACAGTAATGACTTTGGAAGGAATTGTTACCTTGGCTGGAGGAGATGAAACTTTCGGAGACGGCACTAGGATCTTTGGGGTAGGAACTACTGGCTTGGCTGGTGGACTCTTGACTGTGGCAGGTGCAGGGACGTGTACTTTGCTAATGGGGACAGAAATGGTGCTAACAACAGGAGCTGGTTTCTGAAGGAGAAGCTGAATAGGAGGATCGCTTGGGTTTTGTAAGAAATATTGCTGCTGTCCAGGCACAGGGGTGATGTGGATGATCTGTGGGCTGCTTAATGTTCCTACAGTTGAAACCTTCACCAGCGGCTGACTGGCTGACCGATTCTGTGGCTGTAAAATTGTTATTGGAGTTGTCTGCCGTAGTTTATTGTCTTGCTTCAGAGGTGCCTGAACTTGAATTTGGATGGGCTCAGCTGCCTGAATAATTCAAAGTGTGAAAAAGCTCAATTAAAAACATTTTAAATTTAGTCTGTGGACTAAATTCAGTGAATGCATATACAGAATATCTGACTAAGTGCATGCAGGAAACTAAAGAGAAGTTAGAAGGATGCATTTGGCATACTGGTTTCTTTCACAAAACTTGTTTGTGACCATAGTTTCTGCCCATATATCATAATTACTACAATTATTGATACAACAGTGAAATCTTAAATTAATATATGATCTAAAGTACTGGACAATTTGAATAATATCTTTATGTAATGCACAATTTTTAAGGAAGGAAGGATGTAGGGCTGTGCAAATAATGGAATGCGATTTTCATGCGAATCTCGTCAGTAAAGTCGGTTCTGTGATTAGTAGTAAATCTCCAGCACGTGCTTTCAGATGGAGCGGCATTTACTACACAGAACAGAACCGGCTTTACTGACGAGATTTGCATGAAAATCGCATTCCATTATTTGCACAGCCCTAGAAGGATGTATAGAGAGAAAAAAACATATTGAAGGAAGTACGTGAAGAAAAAAGTACTACAGGAAGAAAGTACAAACAAAACCTCGTAGGTAGCATGTAAGTAAGCAAGTACAGAAGGAAGTATGTTCGGAAATAAGAATGTAAGGAAAACATTGTGGAATGTACATTAGAAGTACTTTAGGAAATCTGCACAAAAGAAAGAAATGAAGCAAGAAAGCAAAGGAGGAAATACTTGTGGAAGAAAAAAAGATACACAGGAAAATGTGTGTGAAAGAAAGGAAGCATGTTTGAAAGGAAGTACAGAAGGAAATGATTGTGGGAACAAATGTACAGAAGGATGAATGAAAGGTAATCTGTGCAGAAGTAAGTACAAAAGGAATGGAGGAGGTAAGTACAGAAGGACATATTTGTAGGAGAAAGTATGTGTGTGGAAGAAAGGAAGGAAATGCAGAAAAATGGAAAGACAAATACATGTGGTAAAAGCTGAGTATTTACAGAAGGAAGTATGTACGGAAGAAAGGAAGAAGCAAATACTTGAGGAAGAATGAATGTACAAACTTATGGAAGGAAATCCGTGCGGAGGATATGAAGTACAAAATGAATGGAGGAAGTACAGAAGGAAATATTCGTGGAGAAAGAATGTACTGAGGGACGTTCAGAAGGAAACGTGTACAGAAGAAAAGGGTACAAAAGGAAGGAGGAGGTAGAGAAGGAAATACATGTGGGAAAAGCATCTGCAAAAGTAAGTACGTACGTATGGAAGCAAGTACAGAATCTAAACAAAAACTAAAGAAAATGCAGAAAATAAGTACAGAAAGAAATGAAAGAGGCACATGTTTATAAAGAAGTTAGCCTAATATATACGCATTAAGTAAGCAAAGAATAAAGGAAGAGAAAGAAAGTACTTCACAGATTTTCTGAGAAACCCTTCATTCACATTCTGCACTGTAAACAAAAAATGAATTGTCTCGTAATACAATTACTACAGTTTATGAGAGGCCCTATGTTACCTTCTGTGCGGTCGTGTGGGCTCCGTTCTGCGACTGCTGCAGCGCGACCTGTTTGGCGACGCTCTGCAGCTGCTGCGACGCGTTCTGCACGATACTGACTGGTTGCGGCTGAATCGCCGTCGCCAGTTGAAAGTTAACGTTACTGGACTCCAGCGCGATGTAGGAAATCGGCTGCGTCGTGACAGGTCTCTGTAGTATTTTTGGGGTCGTTGTGAGGGTCGCAGCCGGCTCGGCCTGGGCAATCACCTGTGCTTTACTCACTATAACCTGCTGTACGTCCACTATGGGGGAGGTGGAGGGTTTCACAGCTGTCTCAGTACCTGCCACATGGACCAATTGTTGTTCCGTTAACTGCTCGATTAACTGCTGCTGCTCCTCGGCCGATAAGCCCGAGCTCTCCACGAAGCTGCCGTCGGGCTGCACGTAAATGATGGTGGTCGTCGGCGCAAGAGCGTTTAAGACTTCCCCGCTAACAGTGGTGCACTCAGCAGTCACACCTGCCTCTGCAGTGGCCTGAACATAAGACGTTATGATATTCGCATCGGTTAGTAGCTCACCGCTCACGATCTGCCCGATCACCTCCTGGGTAACGTTACCGTCCACAACTCTGACATCCACCGCCGACTCGCTGTGCATTAACTCAGCGAGGCCTTGATCAACGCCCCCTTCTGTGGTGGACAGCGTCTTGCTTGCGTCTTCTTGATTATTTCCCGCTTCGGCTGCGGTCTGTGTAGTCTCGGGTTGCGGCAGGGACCCGCTCGCGTCGAGGTTTTCCATTTTCGCTGCAGCAGATTTGAACGCTGAATTATTATCGTCTTCATTGTCCGCCATTTTGTTTAACGTTACAGGAGCAAAACTTGCTAGCTGACGTAGGAATCCTCTCAAGAGCGCGAGAAGCGGCCGTTTGTTTGCAGACGATTAATGCTCAAGATGTGAGTAATATTTGCGAGATTGATTCAAAGCCCGGTACAAACCATTTCAAAGGTGGGAAAATGTTATAATCCAGAGACGCTCGCGAAGTTAACGGTAGCCAGGCAATTGGTTTTCCCGTCCATGCCACCAATGACGACAGCACGGAGGATGGGTAACAACAAGATACGTCATTTCCGCTTTTAGCGCGCCGTTCTCTCGTTGCTCTCTACCCTGTTACCGTTCCTGGCTGCCTTCACATTGGAAACTATTTATAATAATTTAAGGAAAATAATCTTGTTTGGGCGTGAACACTCTCCTTTGATTTTATTTGTTCCAAAAGTGTATGATATCATTTATAAAATATATATATATATTGAAACACAATTTGAGCTAAGAAAGACTACATTTTGGGGCACATTTTAGTCAAAATTGTCCCTTTTGCTGGTTAATTCCTATGAATGGTGTGTATTTTACACATTTTACAAATACAATTACAATTATATGATTAATTCAAGGCTTATTTCATTCAAAATACCAGTGCTGCTTATACATAGACAGACAGACAGACAGACAGAAACCTCTGTATTATTCTGTTATTGTATGAATGGTGTATTTTACACATTTCACAAATCTACATTTTTAACCCAACATGCATTCATAAGCCTGTTTCCGTCACAGGTCAGTAAAAATATGATTCTGCTAGTCATAATAATGTAATCTTTAAGTTTATTTTATTTTATTTATTTCAGATTTATTTGACAGGGACAATGCACATCAATAATACATAAATGTACAATGTGCCAGAATTAGCCAGAAGGCTATTTTGCATCTGCAGTCCCTGGACTGATGGTAAAATTGTCACCCTAAAAATATAAAGAATGAATCAATACATAATACTTACATACTCCAAAATACATATAACATTCACACTATTCCTAAAAAAAAACATCCGCTTAAAAGTTATACTATACACAGAACCAACAAATCAATACCAGCTCACTCATACACACAATCTAACTGTCAAACAAAATGACAAACAATGTATCAATAATATAATAATATCAATATACATACAAAGATAATGTAAGCATACAGACAAGTAACAGTAGCCCTAATCATTCAATCAGTCCTAAACCAAACAACCTCATATACAGTATATAGCATAAAAATCTCAAACTAGTAGAGCAGAAAAGACAAGACAGCAGCAGAGTTTAGTTTATAAAATTAATGTTGACAATGCTGACACTCAATTAACCACTTCTTTAAGTGACACTTAAAGGAGGCATAAGTATTAAAATGTGTAATGTAAGTTGGGATGGAGTTCCACTCATGAGCAGCCCTAACTGAAAACACTGTTTGACTAAATGCACTTTTTCTTAAAGGGACTATGCAATCACCTCTTACTGCACTTCTCGTTAATCTGTAACCAGATGGTGCTACGTTTACAAACGGGTTCAATACAGGAGGAGCCAGTCCATGTCTGATTTTATACATAAGACAAAGATCTGTATATATATATAATCACATTTTCCCAACTTAAAATATTGTATTTTTGTTTTGTTAAATATCACAGTGATGATGGTGTATGGATTTCCTATCTAAAACTTTCAAGGTTTGTTTATATAAAGAGATAATTGGTTTGAGAGAAGTATTATTTGCTTGTGACCAGGTTGTCAAACAATAGGTGATATGTGGAAAGATCATCAAATGCATAAACATCTTTGCAGCCTTAGTTGACATGCAACTACGGGCATATCTAAAATTTGCCAAGTTGAACTTAATGTGATTGCAAACCTTCTTGATGTGCATTTTAAAAGTAAGATTGCTATCAATATATACAACTTGTAGTCTCTCCCCTTCTATGACTACATCTGACTCCGCACGGCAACTTTTAGTTTTACTGAAAAACATACATGCAGTTTTCGATACATTTAGTTGTAAGCAATTATGTTTTAGCCATTCCGTGATCTTTAACATTGAACTTGTTAGCTGATCATCAGCTTGAGCTGCACTATTAGCATGTACAAAAACTACTGTGTCATCAGCATACATCTGGATGTTGGAATTGAAACAAACATTTGGCAAATTTACATACAGAGAAAATAAAAGTGGGCCCAAGATTGAACTTTGCGGGACACCTGCTGACAAAGAAACAACATCTGATTGATAATTCTTCACTCTAACCAACTGAGACCGGTCTGTTAAATATGATTCTACCCATTGAATGGTGTCTACTGAAAAATAAATGCATTCCATTTAGATAAGATAATTCAATGATATCAAAGGCCTTTTTTTAAATCTAGGAAGACGGCACCGACAACCCCTCCTCGATCCAACAACAACTTAACTTTTTCTATAAAATAGCAATTGGCTGTATTGGTTGAGTGATTAGTACGGAAACCAAAATGATGTGGGTGTATAGGATAAGCACTGGTATTTAATTGATTTATCATTTGTTCTGCAACTAGTTTTTCGGCGACTTTGGAAACCACGGGCAAAATACTAACAGGTCTGTAGTTGCTGGTGGATAGAAGATCACCTCCTTTAATATGGGAATTACAGCAGCTAATTTCCACACATTTGGGAATATCTAATGAGTAAATGAAAGATTTCCAATTTTTGTAATCGGGTTGACTAATACTTCAGAAAGCACTTTCAACATACAGTGCTGTGAACAGGTTTTTGCCCCCTTCCTGTTTTTTTTTATTTTTTGCATATGTCACACTTAAAAGATTCAGATCATCGAACAAATTTTAATATTACACAAAGATAATGCAAGTAAATACAAAATGCAGTTTTTAAATGATTATTTATTTTATTAAGGGAAAAAAGCTGTCCCAACCTGCCTGGCCCTACGTGAAAAAGTAATTGCCCCCTAAATCTAATTACTGGTTGTGCCACGCTTTGCAGCAACAACTGCAATCAGGTGTTTGTGATAACTTGCAATGAGTCTTTCATATCGCTGTGGAGGAATTTTGGCCCACTCTTCTTTGCAGAATTGTTTTAATTTAGCCACATTGGAGGGTTTTCGAGCATGAATGGACTGACAGCATCTCAATCAGATTTAAGTCCGGACTTTGATTTGGCCACTCCAAAACCTTAATTTAGTTTTTCTTGAGCCATTCAGAGGTGGACTTACTGGTGTTTAAGTGTGACAAACATGCAAAAAATTTAAAAAACAGGCACTGTACATGTATTCATCCCAGTGACATTTTTAGCTCGAGATGGCCTGAGGGATCTAATCACTCTCATCACATCTGACTCAGTAATAGATTCTATGTTGAATGCTGGTTCTGTCTGTCTAACTTGACAAAAAAGTGTTCTTATACCCGGGAGTAAAATACTTAATTATATTTTCTACTGAATCAATGTAATAATTATTGAGAACATCAGCTACTTCAGCTGGCTTATTCTGAAGTTTTCCGTCAACAACAAGTTGTAATAATGATTTATTATATAGGTTAATAATGAAAACTTTTTCCTAATAATGACTTAATCGTAATAATGAGAAACTTTCTTATAATAAAGTAGAAAACGAAACTATTTGTTATAATTTGTTATGATTTTTAGAATTAAATAAGGACAGAATTATCTTAACACTGTTGGACGTTGTTAGTGAACAAACTAAATAAACTAGGCGAATACATTTTTTTAGGGTGAATTCATGCAAACTGGGGTATTTGTTTCCATTGATATGACTGAACCTCTATGTTGCAGAGAATACCCTTTTTTGGACTAAACATCAATGTAGTTTTTTTTTTAAACATCAATGTAGTATTGGTGGGTTTATTAAGCAAATGATGTATTTGCACTATTCATATTTTGCACAGACTGTACATTGTTCAAGCTATTACACTGTACACTGTCTAACGTTGTTACTGTACAAAGCACAGTAATCTATTTCTAATAAAATATTATTGCACTACTGATATTTTGCATAGACTATACATTGTTTAACAATACTATTGTACACACAACCAACTGTATTACCACTGTTCTTACGTTGCTGCTGTTCATACTGTACATATAACCCTACATTGCACTCCTTTTTATATTATGTACATGCTTAATATTGTATATAGCAACTCCACTGTACATACTGTAAATTATAGCTTCACATACTCTGCACTTATCTGTATATAAAACACTCTATTCTTGCGCTTCTGGTTAGATGCTAACTGCATTTCATTAGCTCTGTACTTGCACTCTGCATAATGACAATAAAGTTTAATCTAATCTAATCTAATCTAATGTAGGCTATTGGGTAAATTACCTATATATTACAGTAAATGTCCAGCAGGGGGCAGGAAGGGACCATTTTTACATCCTCAATCCACATTTTAGGTCTCTCTTTTGTCATGATGCTACATCAATAAAACAAACTGAATCAATCTTATCACGTTATTGCCATTATTTTAATAAGCCAAAATATCTTCAAACAGAGCAACTACTAGCCTATACTATATTAATATAATAATGATCAAATCCACTGAACAAACATTTTTATGCATACAACATTTACCATAGGCTACATAAGAATGCCACTCAGTCAGGCAGATGAGAATTGTTCTTTCAATCATTTTAAGCGCATATTGAATGTCTAAAGAAACAGATTTAGATTGTAAATTGTAAAGCATTAAGAGTTTAGCATGTAGGCAATGTTCTGATAAATGTAAACAGAAAAGGATTTTCAGTGTATTTAAAATTATCAAAGAGTTTTCAAATAATATGAGTGAATAGTAATATTTAAATGATATATTATGGCAGGTGTCATTCAAAATGATATTATTTATTTATTTAGCCAAATGATAGATTAGGCTATATATCATTTAGAATTTATATTCAAATATAAAATTAGTCACAGGGCAAGAAGTCATTGAGCCAACTGGAAAGATTGCAGGATACACAATCAATTAATAATTCAAATCAGTTTGATTGATATTAAAATGTATATGACTGATGTATTTTACATGCATACAATCAAAGTGAATATCCTTTCTCATTTTACACATTTGTCAGATATTCTAATTACCTGCTTTACCTAACGGCACAGCAGCTTGGTGATCATCACAATCTGATTAAGAAATCACTCTAAAGACAGCATGGATTTGCCACTAAGATAAATGATCTTAACTCTGATCACAGATAAAGTCCAGTTCGTCTCTCAGTCAGGCCTCTAATGGCCACCATTAGTGACATTGTGGGATTAGAAAGTACTTTACT